CTGACAATGAACAGGCTCTCTGAACTCAACCTCAACTTGAAGTTAGCACCAGAGCAGGAAAGTGATTCACCGCCAACATTTGCGCAAACACCTCTTAATAAATGCCAACAAAAGACTATAGTTAGTCACAAAGTAGTTCTCATACAGAAATGAGTCACGATAGTCATTATTGGTTTCGCAACTGCAATCGATTCAGCAAGAGAAGTTCAAACTAGCAAGTTTCAGTGACAGTAAATAGTCTACCGCTACTGCAAATAAAGTAATGGGATCCTTGCTGAATACTTGTACGAAGAGATGGTTGCTCGCAACGTCAACAAATAATGGGCAAATACAGGAAAAGAGCCATGTGACCTTTTTATCACGTCAAAAAAGGGGAACTTACAAACTTCTCACTTCATTCAGCGCTCTCATTAAATTCTTGAAGTGCCATAAAAATGACAAGGAAATTCTGATCTTCTCTATTATCAAAAGAGATGTCCCAATGGCCATAACAAAGCAATTTACAAAAGACGAAAAAGATAAGAATGGTTGCTATGAGATGAGAATATGAAAAAGATTATAATATATATGGTCAGCAGAATTCTGCATACCTGTGTCAGGAACGTCAGTTGGTCGCATAACACGTCGAATTTGTTCCATATTTTGTAGATCTGGTGATAAACCACCATGACAACAGAATATCTTCTCATCAATGAGTGCAGCAATTGGTAGACAATTGAAGCAATCAGTAAATGTTTTCCATAGTTTGATTGAGAATCTGCGTTTACCTGAAGTAAAATAACTTAAAACAGTTTAGGAACAAGACAGAAATGATTTATGTACATCAATATTTGATAATTTTTGCAAAGCGAATGACGGCGTTAAAATAACGGCTCTCTATTTATGAAGATACAAGACGCACTCTTGCAATCTTTTCTTTTTGACAATTTGAAGCCTTTGCACCTATCCCTGTACTTTGTTTTCTAGGCTTTCGTAGGCTTTGATAACAGAATTGCTTTGCCAGCAATGAACTCCGATTCCAAGACAGCTTTTGGTAGTTTCCCAGAAAATTCTACCAATGAATTCATAGTTATCATCTAAGTATATTTTCGAAATGATTTATATTATTAGAATTACGTGATAATCTATCTAATAAAACATTTGATCAGCATGTGTCTATGTGAGCCAAAGAAAAAACAACTTCTACTCACAAATTACTATTTCCCTATACTACCTACGACTGCAACAAAGCTAGTTACATTTAGGTAACTGTTTGACTAAATTTAATAAAGAAACATTTGAAGCTCAATGAAGCGAAGCATGGTAATCTCAAGATCAATATATTAAGCATGATACAGTCATAACTCCA